ACAACAACAACAACATTCAAAAAAGATGTGCTGAATGGATGCAAGTGATGTCCTTAGTCAATTACTATGTCATCTCCACTTGAATAAGGAACAAGCTACAGATCCTTCTTCTGTATGAAAAATAAACCTCAACCAACCAGTAAAACAGTAATATAACATATGATCATGACTGAGTTAGTATGGGATGGACTCAAAGTAGACTAAGAATTCAGGAAAGAAGTAGTTTCAAGTGCATAATTCAATATTCAAAAGACTTCACAGAGGTAAAAAGAGAGTACCTAGATGGGAAAATTGTAACACCATCAAACGCAGAGATGCAGTCCTCATGTTACCTAGTAACAAAAATAATGACAATAAATGCTTTGAACACTGAGGCTTCAGGAGCCTCCTGGTTGGTGACAGACACCAGTGCACATGGGAGGTAGCAAACACATTCTTTTTTGGGACATGGAAGCTCCCCTTTGGGAGCCCTTCCGAAACCTGCCCTATGCATCTCCTCATCTGCATCACTTTTGCTACAATGCTACTAAAAGGACAGCACCTTCTGGGAGTTCTATAAGCCATTCTAGCAAATTATTGAATCTGAGGCAACAGTGGGAGCCAGGAGGTCAGAAGAGAGGTAGGCCCTAGAGACTTCCAGGCTTATGGCTGGCACTGTGTAGGGATAGTGGGAAAACCACACTTTAATAGCCAGCAGGCCAGAAGCAAGGATGCTATGGGGACTCCCAAGCTTGTGACAAGCATCTAAGACTTCAGAGAGACTGCAGGCTAGAGGACTGTGCCCTTTACCTTACAAGATCCTCCCTATGTCTGGGTGGTCAGAGTCAGAGGAGGAAGTGCTGCATGTAGAGCTAATGTCACGAGGCAAGAAATCAAACTCCTACATGAGACAGACTGTGATCAGATTCAGAAGCAAAAAACAGAGAGACATAGTTCTTTAAAAATAGGCAAAGGAAAACAGCCCTAATAAAGAATAGAGATATTAAAGAGGACGGTTAGCTTTCTGGGTCACCAGCTGGTGCAAGTTCGATATGAAACATTCAGTGGCCACCTGGGATTCCAGTGTCATTTCTGCCCATTTTCTTGGTTGTCAACTCACTCACCTGGACTAGGCCAGCTACAGGTTACTCCCTCCACGATCCATGGTGTTTCTCCTTGCTCCAACTTGAAGATTGAGTCTGGTTTGGTAGCTTGATATCCTGTAAAAAGGGAAAAATGACTGAACACTTGGCACCAAATATTTATGCATGGTGAAGCTAAGAATACTGGACAACATTATATTTCAGGAACCACAGTATTTGTATTTTGCTAAGTAAAAACACTTAGGAGCAAAGAGTATACACTCCAGTGCCAAAGAAAAGAATAAAGGTCTATGACCTATACAGGGGGCCTCAAGCTCAACTGGCATAACATACTACACAAAAACATTATTCCACATCCTATTTTGGTGAGTAGTCACTGGGGTATTAAAAGCCTGCAAGCGGCCATCTAGATGCAACAATGGGTCTCTCCTCATCCAGAGCAAAGAAGAATGAGGAAAATTTAAAAAA